TGTTAAAGTTACTGGTCTAATTTTTTGTTAGTGAGCATTTTCAGCTCGCATTACTCACAAAATTTGTGGTATCGTAACTTTTGTGTGACAGTATCAAACAACACTATTAAAAAAAAATTCTAAATTCCCTCCCATTGCACATGATAAAACTATCTGGAATAAAATGTGTGACTTGTTGATGGTTCGATACTGGACCCAGCTGTCCTTGATCATGAGCTTTTAATAAAGGGTCCTGACTAGTGAAACAGCTGGTCTTAGTCAGTAACAATGCTACACAGATCACCTAACTTCATTCTACACTCTACTTGGGTTACAATACGCCCCTAGGTGGCGTCTCCATTGCATAAATTGATCATTAAAAAATTAGCTTCGGAACTCGTACGTACATCATGCCAGTGATTTACTGAAGAAGATATTGGAAAACCAAAGAAACCCAATACAACTTTCTTTTCTATGTATTTTGACGCAAATGTATTTCTTAAAAAAATTACAAATAAATATGTTTGACTATCGTGTAAAAGTGTAGATCACATTTTTACTTGAATAACATGCATGAACTGCTCAATGACATTTTCACTGTGATGGCTGGACAGTTACTGATGAGAAAACACTGAAACGTGTGTATTAGCACTTGACAATCGCGCTTGATTGTGTCAAATGGAAACAAATCAAATCAAATATGCTTTATTCATAAAGTACAGCTTTGTACATTGAATGGCGTCAGCTAAATCTATCTTAAATTAATAATTTAAAAATTTGCATATCTTGGATCATTATCTACATTAAAAACCAAGAACCAGGAAATGAAAATAATCAAAACTGAATTAATTACTAACGCTAAGAGGGGAGGTGGAAAAATACACTTCCAGGGAATAGAACGCTTTCTCTACTAAATAAAGTTTTAGTTTTCTCATGAAATTTTTCCTGCTTTGTTCATTTCTGATTTCATTAGGAAGATGCTTAAACAATTTTAATCCTATAATAGGATGTTTTTTTTCATAGAATTTTAATTTATGTTTACTTGAAATAAGGAATTTTACCTAACCCGCCATGTTAAACTTCCCTATCCCAAGTGTGATGTATATAACTTCGTTACTTCTCGAGTGATGTAAAGTTGAAAAAAACTCACTCGGTGATGTAATGAAACCCATTTAAATAACATTGAGTGCTTAACTTTAAAAAATATACCTCTATGGAGCCAATGACGTTCAACGCTAGAAATCAGCTGTGCGCTTGAATTTTATTGTTATGTTTTGAAGAATTTTCCTAACCTAGCTTTTGTTTGTAAATGAACGTTACTGTTAGAAGATGAGTGAAATGGATAATGAAAAATATTGTTCGTAACCTCCTGTATATTGTCGGGTCAGGTAAAATCTTGTACGTTACACGTTACGCAAGAGCGTGTTTACATCACTTCGGTAAATTATGCAACTCGCTTCCGCTCGTTGCACAACATTCACCTGCGTGATGTAAAAACGCTCTTACTACACTTGCAAGGTAAATAGCTATTTTATGCCGAGTGATGTATGGGTGATAACTTGTCTCAGAGGTGCTCAAGCAGTTTTTTGCTAGAATAATTGTGTCGTAAATAAATTGGCCAATACCGTTAAAATTTTCAGTTCTTTGAATTTGTTTTTGGTTGTTTCGTTGTGTTCTAATTTCAAAATTATTCTTATTGCTATTTTTTTTAACTTGGGAATCATTTAATACTGTCGGGAATACTATCGTTAATATTTTAAACGTACCATAGCTTCTGAATAGACTTTGTTTTTTTTATTTTTTGAAAAAAAAAATTCTACACATAATGCATGTTTTGCTTTTTGTCTAGCAGTTTCTCTAAAATGTTCGTTATACTTTACACTAATTAAATTCCATTTTGTAGCCCCTGAACTGCGTAGTATAGACTAAACTTAACATACCAACCTCGCCTTGCAGTTCAAATATAGTGTTTGAAGTCCACTACATATGTTTCGCCATATATTTCAGTAAGTTGTGTTATCATTCTCAAGTGGTTACAGAAACATTTTATCCAATTTTATCGTATTTGAAGTAACATGTTGACGAGTCCAAATAGGATAAAATGTTTCTGTAACCACTTGAGAATGCCATATATGGTGAAACATATATAACATGTAGTGGACTTCAAACATTATACTTGAATTGCAAGACGAGGTATGTAAAGTTTAGTTTATATTAATGCATGTCATTATTTACAGTATAAAAAATACATTCCAGTTTAAACACAGTATGGTCTGAAAGGTTCAACTGCACTTCCTAGAAGAGAATTAAGCTTTCTAAATATTTAATTATACAATCTAATTGCCGAAAGTACTTTCATGTAGTTAACACATACGAGGCTGATGAAGAAGTCGTCTAAATAGTTATACAGCCGTATGACCAGACATTTAGTGTTCATCAGCCCACTGTGTTAGTAGCTTAATTCGACTACCAGTGATTTTAAAAATGAGTTAAGGGAATTACTAAGGGAATGAGATGTCTACTTGTCTTAGATAAAAAGTGCTTGGCTTTAAACATTCTTAAACTTGATCTTTGTACAGCTTGTTAGTTGCAGAATTCTATAAAAAGGGGTTAAAGAAGTAGAGCAGTGTGGAAAACGATCAAAATTACTTGGTCAAAGATATTAAATTAAATATACTCAGCTGTAGTAGCGAAATCAAAATCCAAGCTCAAAGAGTGATATCAGACACAAAATGGGCTGAAAGCTAGTCTAGTAATCTAATTTAAACTGGTACCAACTTACTACGCTTGGGCTTACCTGTTCAGGATGGGCAAAGCCGTGTCACCCGACTGCATATACTGCACAGGCATTCTCGATGACGTGGAACATACATTTTTCAACTGCCAGCGCTGGGAAAGGCCCCGCCTGGAGGCTCAACAATTAATAGGACTGCTGTCGGTGGACACGGTCATACCGATTATGACGGAGGGTGAGGACAATTGGACCTGTGTGTCACATTATATCCAGGGTATTCTCCGCGCCAAGAAGATCGACCTTGACCGGGATGCGGTGTAGGTCATTAAGAATCTAAATGCCAGAAACGGTGCGAGCCCTGAGGGCTTAGGTCACATGTTGGCCTGACTTGAAGTAATGTGACAAACAATTCCAGGTCTGTGTCCAACAGAGTAGAGGGGGTTTTTTTAGTGAGTAGTCTGATAATTTTCAGGAGTCTCGCACTACAGGCTGGCTACCTGTGTGCGTAAAAGCATTTTCCCTCCTCTCCCTAAAAAAAAAAAATTAAAAAAAAAACCGCTTGGGCTGTTGTTGATTATTAGGTTTGGGATAGTAGGTTTGATCAATGGTTGAACTGTCAAAAAGATGGTTCCCTCGGCTGGGAGACACCTTTGTAGACTGAGGATTTGATTCCCGTCTTGGTTACGTCTCAATGTCTGGTTTTGTGACATGAGTGATTCACCAGTTGCGGCAGATCTTGGTGGGAGAGGCCTACCTAAAGTTTACTTCTAGCAATTGTATGTTTCTCTTGTTTTTGTTTTAGCGAATTTCCCTTTAGGGGAGTAGCTATTACCGTAGGTGGCATGGTAAGACCCAGGCCCGGGACCGATTTACTTTTTCATTTTGATGTCCCCAGAGGCCAAAAACACCATCCGTTCAAATTTTATATATGTATATATATAGAGAGAGATTTAGATAGGCCTATATATATGTCCGTGAACACGATAACTTGAGTAATTTTTGTCCGATTTTGATGAAATTTGGTTTGAAGGTGTAAGGCGGGTTAAATCTGAATGAGTTCGCGAACCAGCATGATCGGACCATGGGAATGGGGTTTTATGGGGTAAAAATTAGTTTTTCCAATTTTTTACCTTCTTCTCACCAGACCTTTTTAAAGAGCTTAAAAAAAACAAATAATGTAATATATCAAAATGTTTTTGTACAATTATTGGTTACGGAGAAAATTCAAAAAAAAAATTTTTTTAACTCCCATGTTATTCTTATGGAAAATATTGTAAAATGTTGTAGTTTGCTTGTTTATGGATATATTTTGATCAAACTTGGTAAATTTATTTATTTTATACTAACTTATTAATATTTTACTAAAAAACACAATTTTTTTACCCTCCCTGTTGCAGCAAGCCTAGGTACTCATAAAACATAATGTTAATTAAATACATTTAATTGAAAATCAATTCAGGCAAATGGAGAATCGCTTAGTCGGCAGGTTAGCTGCGGCGGGGGTATTTTTATATATTAAAGAAATGGTCCAAACGATGGTTTTGCTAAAACATGTCTATTGGCCAGCGTTTCTCTGATACCTGTCAGTTTTACAGAACAAGAATTGTCAGTTAAACTAGTACTATCTACAACCAAACACTAATCTCTTTTAAACCCCATTTGCTGGATAGGTGGTTTATCCAATGTGGATCCAAAATAAGAGAAACTTTTCTTACGGAAAGTAAATAAAAGAAACGTCTTATAACACTTAAAACATATATTTACGCTTATACTGTTACTCACAAGACGGTAAATATAAAGATGGTAAGTGGTGATCGATTTCGATTGGACACTCCAATCATCATCAGACCCAATACGCGAATGTTTTCTTTCCCAATTCCAAGGTGATTCTGGGAAGGTAAAGCATGAAGATGAAACATCTAGTCCATCATCAATTGTAGTCAAATGTCATCTGGATCCAGATTTATCAAATATGTATGACTGAAATTATTTTACTTGTTTCAATTTCAAGATTAAAATTTAAAGCTCATGTTTTAGTTTCATACACTTACATTTTTCAACGTTTCTAGTTTAATCTCTTATTACAGTATGTGGATATTTTTATTTCATGGGGGTTCCCTCTGATACTGGCCAGTTCTGGGAAAAATTAGTCACATTCTTTAAATATTTTAGCCTATATTTTACTACTAGGAAAAACATGAGCCAAACTTTGAACAGATTTATCTGCAAAATCTTTTGTGTTATATGTGTGTATGACAGTATTACTAACACAAACATTTTGTTTCAGCATTTGGAAGTGCCTGTTTGCTCCCAAACACTTTGTCCACATATTTTGCTGTTGTTGCAACAAATGCCGAAGACGATGAGACTTCCATTTACCTTAGTCTATTTTGAGACATGTCAATGCAAGATCTCAGCAATACCAAGCCATTCTCATGTCTCTGTTGTTACGGCAGTTTATTATATTTTAAATAATTCCTGTGATAGATTTTCATATTAATATTTGTCTATTTGTACATAATGCATTTAAGGATGAAAACTTGGCTGTTTTAGGGCAATTATTTTATGAATGTGTACGTCTCTTTATGTGTCTGAAATTATTTAACTGTATAAAAATATTAAATCTGAATGATTGTAAAACTAAACAGTGATTATAAAATGTATTTAATAAAGTATGCAAAGTAATGTAGTAAAAGTATGCAAAGTAAAATTTATCAAACACTCTTTACACTTCGTGAGTAGAAGAATGATTAAATGAGAATGTGTAGAAGTTGTTAAAGAGGTTTGGATGTTTTTAACCAACAACTCAGTTGCTTTAACAGCTGATCCTGCAAATCTTAACAGTTAAGTTTGTTAGTTGATTGTTTTGTTTGTTTATTTTTTTTCTGACAATCTTTATTGGACATTCGGGCATTTTACATGTCCTCTACTCTACAGCAAGATTCAAGTACAGGACCGTTATAGGAATACTTTAATTTTATGATATTTATTTTATTTTCAATTTAAAATATTGAGTTTTTGTATGTTAAAACATCTTTAAACAAATTAGGTACTTTAAAAGTATGCCTCATTCACTTGTATCAAAGGCCTTAGTACTGCAAACATTGTTTTAAATACTTTCCCGCAACTCTGCATCCAGTACATAACTGGTTATGACATTGTACTAATACTGTTAAAAAAAATATTGCTTAAGGTTCTGCTACTCTACGTAGTAAAGGAAATGGACGGGACACGGAAAGGAAACAAACCGGACCAATCCTGGTTCTAGAGCTACATTTCATGGTATAAGGAAAGGAAACTACTGAAAACAATTTCCTTCGAAAATGAGCAAACTAGTGATGGTCGAAACCAGAAATTTTGAATCTCAAAACCGAAACTTTAAAAAATCTAACCTTGAATCTCAAAAACCTAAACACGAAACTTTCTTACGTAGCTGGTTACAAAGGTCAAAGTTACAAAAAAATACAGGTAATAATTAAATACTTTACTTACATTAGTTACTTTACTTTTCATTTAAATGGATGCCATCAAAACTGAAAGAGATCAAATCCTGACCGCTGACCCTGATATAAAAACTTTCTCAAATTGAGAAAGAATAGTCAGTATGAAAAAAATGTGTACTAAGGTCTGTATGTTTTATCTAATAAATCCTATTCAAATCCACAAATATTTAAATTGTTATTCAACACCTGGTAATCTAAGTATAATTTATAATTTGTAAGTTTATTTATAATTTAGTTAATTAAATTAATTTTTCTATTTCATAATAGTTTATAATGATATAATTTAAGCATTATTATAATTTGTAAAATAAATTAAACAAATTTCTTTTGAGAAATATAAAGAATTCAGGAAACATAGTTATCACATAGGAAAATATGAAGCATGAAAATGGTTGTTATTTCTTATTGCTTCACTATCAAATCACCCTGAATAACTTATGTAGCTCAAAACATTTGTTTAAATGTAGGTACATGGATAAAGAATTAAAAACAAATACAGGATAACATTTGTGTGTCCCTTATAGACTGATACCTTTGTAATAATTTTAAATACATACCTATGAACTAGTTTTAGCGAATTTCCCTATAGGGAAGCAGCTATTACCGATTACCGTAGTTCTCATGGTAAGATCTAGGCCTGGGACCGATTTACTTTTTCATTTTGATGTCCCCAGAGGCCAAAAACACCATTCCCTCAAATTTATATATATGTAGGTATATACAGGTGATTGATATAAGTGTGCCAGCCGTTTTATTCAAAAACTATAAGAGATATCAAAAAAAGTTAAATGGTAAGTGCCTTGGATTTTTTATTTAAAAGTTGTAGTCAAGTAAAAAAAAATATTTTAGCCGCCATTTTTCCAATATGGCCGCCAACTTTGATTTTTCTTATGGAACACCCTGCATTTTATGATGTATTCTGGTAGAAAATGTAATTTTAACACGATTTTATTCTTGTAATTTTTTTCATAAACCTAACCGTTTCAAAGATAATAATGGTCAAAGTTTTGAAATTTCTGCATGAGAAAGTTTCCACAAAGGCCTAAGCAAGCATGCCAGCTGTTTTATTCGAAAACCATTCAAAATTTCACAACTTAAACCATCATTATCTTGGAAACGGTTAGGTTTATGAAAAAATTACAAGAATAAAATCGTCTTAAAATTACATTTTCTACCAGAATACATCATTAAATACAGGGTGTTCCCATAAGAAAAATCAAAGTTGGCGGCCATATTGGAAAAATGGCGGCTAAAATAATTTTTTTGACTTGACTATAATTTTTTAAATAAAAAATCCAAGGCTCTTACCATTTAACTTTTTTTGATATCTCTTATGGTTTTCGAATAAAACGGCTGGCACACTTATATCAATCAGCCTGTATATCTATATATATGTCTGTCCGGACGATAACTTGAGTAATTTTTGTCCGATTTTGATAAAATTTGGTTTGAAGGTGTAAGGCGGGATAAACTTGCATGAGTTCGCGAACCAGCATGATCGGACCATGGGAACGGGGTTTAACGGGAAGTTTTATGGGGTAAAAATGGGTTTTTCTAATATTTACCCTTAAAACACAAAATTTACTAATTTTTCTCCAGACCTTTTTAAAGAGCTTAAAAAAACAAATAATTTAGTATATTAAAGTGTTTTTGTACGGTGAATGGCTACGGAAAATTAAAAAAAAAAATGCTAATTTAAAATTCCCATGTTATTCTTAAGGAGAATATTGTAAAATGTTGAAGTTGGCTTGTTTATGGATATATTTTTGATCCAACTTGGCGGATTTATTTATTTCATACCAAGCTATTGATATTTTAATAAAAAAAAACACACTTTATTAGTTTCCCTGTATCAGCTAACCTAGGCACTCGTTAAACATAAATGTTAATTTAATAGATTAATTGAAAATCAATCCAGGCAAATGGAAATTCGCTTAGTCGGCAGGTTTGCTGCAGCGGGGGGTTTCTTTAATTGACCAATTTGTGTTTTGTGTGATTTTTTGGCAAGGGCACAAATAGTGCTCAGTTTGGAGTTAAGGATGAGTGTAGATTATAACAATGATAGCTTAGTTACTGGCCAAGACCAGCTGGTTAGTGGTTTGTTAGTCTTGTATATTACCTGTTCTGTTGGACCTATTACAAAATAGCAGGGTTTGCTTCATATGATCAAAAAGTAAATGCTTAGGATCAAAATTGTTTACCTAATACCTTTGACTATTAATCCAATAGTCAATGCTAATAACTTACCATAAAGTAGTGACGCCATATTTTAATGGCTAAAGACAAACTCGCCAATCCAGTGAATACATTAAAATGATTTGGAACTTGATAGGTACTCTCGTTTTTCAGGAGAAGAGAAGGCCGCGTAAAATGGTTCTTGGGCCGTGACAGACAGACAAAAATTTTAAATTTAGATGAGACTTGTTTTGGTTTCTGTATAAAACCATAGATAAAACATACGTTGGTTAGTCTATGATAAAACCTAAGTTTAATAACCTAAAAGTTTATGATTCTGAGCAATGTACAGACAAAACTCTAATTTTATTTATAAAGATTTGTTTTGATTTGATTGTTATTATAATGTTTTCAAAATAGCTGAATGAGTTCATTATAAAAACAATAACGACCAATTCAAAACAAAGACTAATTTGACTGATACAATATCAGATCATCTTTGGTTAGCAATCTGAGTGACGTCAGAATATGACGGGAATAGCACACCTAAAAACGTAGAAGGGGGAATCATGCTTTCGACCATGCAACAGCAAAATCGCAAAATCAATTTCAAGTCGATTAAATGGTAACATGAAGTACTTCATGGTTTAATGCTTACTTCCTAGCCACTCACACACATTTAATTTCTTTACTTCACTATGAGTGCGTCACGATTGTTCATTGGCTGACTCGCTTCGCTTGCACGCTAGTCTTTTCTTCCTCCTATCAAACTCCACCTCACACTCGACCGTCTCGTCCCTCACCACCACAGACTATAGGCATAGATTAAACATACTGTTTAATCTATGCTATAGGGTAGAGAAAACCTTAGGCCGGGGACACACACGGCGGTTTTGTCCGCCACGGATTATTTGCCGTCGCCGTCGCACCAACAGTGGCGTGAAGGAATATATAGAAACGTACACATTGGACGGAAAAAGAAACGATCGTTTTTTTTACCGCTGACGGTAGCTGTGCAGCCGCCCACTGCCACTACACCGACGTTTTTGTTTCCGCCTCCGCCGAAACAGTGGCGTACGTGACCTAATGCACGCGTGTACACGCATCGGTTCATCTGCCGCTGTCCGCTTGGATTCGCTTGACTTGCACAACGTTTAGAGAGTGCAGTGCGTATTGCAGTAATTCATTTAGTTTCGAGATTATAGTTTCAACATTGAATTGTCATGGCTGAAGCTGAAGTACTTGTGATAGACAATGAACTGTTAATTCATTTGGTTCAAGAAAGGCCGGTTCTGTGGGATAAGACAATAGATACATTTAAAGACAGGAATGCGACAAGGAGTGCATGGCGAGAAGTGTGTCTTCAATTCAGAAACGATTTTGACGAATTAGAGGACAACAAAAAGAATGCAGTTTGTAAGTACCTATATACAAATTAATTAAGATAGGCTAAAGGTTCTGGAGGGTGGGAATGTGTCGGCGGGATTTTTATGATAATCTTTTGTTTATACCCCCTTTTTTCGAGGCGAGAAATTTAAAACTGTATTGTGTGGTCCATGATACATACAGCATGTATCGTCCTATATATAGGATACAGTGAAAGAAAGGGTTAAGGGGCTAAAACCCCCCTTAAACCACACGTATAGGGATTTGGGGGGGTCACTATGTTCCAGTTGTATTGTCTGACTGCATGCCGGTATACTCTAATTTTCGGGGCGAGAAATTAAATGGAAACATTTAATTTCTCTTTTAATTTACCAGGGGCTATGGTTTAGTGAGAATTAATAATAAATTCATTATAGAACAGTTTTATATCAAAATTACTTTTTATTTATTTTGATTTTTAAGCTTTTAAGTTCTAGTCTCTTTCCAAGTTTTCTGATTGGTGTCCAGCTCTATATCTCATTATTATCATCCACATTTGTAACTAGATTTAATCAGTTTGCTCAAATTACTAAACCTATTATAATTATCCTTAACAGCATTGTATATTTTGTTATATATTATCATTACGAGAAATAGAAAAGCTGAGTTTTTTCAAAAATAAATATTATGGAATTATCGTTTTTAAATTATATCTCAAAGATTAATATATTGTACATTAAAGGTAATTTTTGGGTTTTACAGCAAAAAGAACCTTCTTCTGTTCTTAGGTGGGATAAGTAAATGTTACACGGGCTGACAATTAATTAAGCAATGTATTTGTAATAAAGTAAACAAAAACTTGTTACCTGACATTTATACAAAAATAAATAGGCTATATAAAATAATTTTACAATTGTATGCTATGACAGAACTTATGTTACACTTGGTGGATTACAGTACATATTTTGATCGTTGTCCATACTTTCACGTTTTTCTGATGTCAAAAAGACGTTGGACTCCTCATATCTTTGACATTTGCCAAGGAACGCTTCCAACACTTGAGACAAAGTACTTGCAAAAAATGTTCCTCACATTGTTGGCTTGAAGACCTCCTCTTGTATTAGTCGGGACTTGGATATCTTCAAGGCCTGTTATAGACATAGTGTCTTCTGCCACATAACCATCCCGGTCTCTAACAAAATTGTGGAGAACAACGCATGCTTTAACAATGTCAACAGCAAAATCAGTTTGAACATTCAAAGGTCGGTGGAATATTCGCCATTTATTGCTGAGGATTCCGAAAGTGCATTCTACGTACCTTCTTGCTCTACACAGTCTGTAATTAAATATTCTCTTGTCAACTGTCAGATGAGTTCCAGCATAAGGTCTCATCAAATGTTTATGCAAACCAAATGCAGCATCGGCTACAAAAAAATAAGGTACTTTTGGGCTCTCTGTACCTGGCAGGCACCTTTCCTCGGGTAGATGTTGGGAACCATTTTGAATCGATTTCCATAGCTTAGTTTCTCTGAAAATAGATGAGTCACAGTCTTTCCCATAACTTCCAATGCTCACGAACTGAAATCGGTATGAGCTATCAGCGATAGCCATTAGCACAATAGAATAATAATCTTTGTAATTATAGAACATAGAGCCACTGTCTTCTGGACATACAATACGGATATGTTTACCATCTACCGCACCTATACAATGGGGAAAATTTGCTGTTGATTCAAATCGTGCTGCTGCCGACTCCCATGTTTCTTTGCTGGGCGGTGGTATGCACTCATTTTGCAAAACTAACCACAGGGCTTTACAAACTTGTTTAACGATTTGTCTTGCTGTTGAAATCCCAATTCTATAGGAATAATGTAGGTCATGAAATGTACATCCACTGGCCAAGTACCTGAAAAAAAGAATCAATGTATTATATCAGGATAATAGTGTGAAGAAAATATATGTTGTTCAGTATTAACAACATGCTACTGAAACATGTTGATGTTAATAATAGTGGGGGTCGACCATTGACTCCCTTATTATTCACCTCCTTTAATGAGTTTAATAGCTCATGTTGTTTATTTTGTTGTTGTTGTTTTTTTGCAGGTAAGGAGATCATGAAAAGGTGGAAACATCTACGCGATGCCTTTGCAAAATCTGAAAAGAAAGATAAAGAATCAAAAAAGAGTGGTTCGCAAGCTTCGAAAAAACGAAAATATATTTTCAATGACGAACTTCAGTTTTTAAGGAAAATATACCAAGATAGAAATACTGATGAAAGTTACAACAATGAAGATGGAGAAAATAAAGATGACGATGACATCAGCCTAGAAGAGCAAGAAGACAGTGTCCAATCAGTAACTTCAAAAGTGACACCAGTTGTCTCAACTTCTGCAACTGGAATCAAGGAAACAATGCAAGTAAAAACTCCTCGAAGACAACACAAGAAAATGGATGAAGTGGATTTAAAAATTATTAAAGCCATAGAGAAAAGTGAACAAGAAGAAAAAAAAGACAGTAAATTGTCATTTTTCGAAAGTTTGTTGCCTCACTTAAACAAGTTTAATGATAATGAGTGGCTGCAATGCCAAGTGGAAATTTTACAAGTAATATCAAAAATGAACAATAGATACCTTCAAGCTCCTCCGCCTCCACCAGCTCCTCCAGCTCCTCGACATCATGAGTTACACAACCCACCGGCGTCACAATTTCAAGTAATTGCCCAACCACAAAATTTTAACTTTCCACAACAACCTTACTATGGGCAGATGCATCATCAAGCATACTCAAGTAATATGCATTCACAAGTGAGTCCTACTCCTGGAGCTCAGCTTGTCCAGCCTGTTCAAGTGCCACAAGTGCCTAAAGGAGCACAGCCCAAAAGTACTGCAGTCACAAGCCAAAGGTCTCTCCCACAAGTATCAAAGCCGAAAAGTCCTGTAACTCTGCATTACGAAAGTTTTTCGCAATTTTTCGACGATGATGATGGTGAACTGTCTCGTGCTTCAAGTTCTACGATTGATTTTACTGAATTACCCTGAACTTTAACAACATTTTGTATTCAGTTCCAGTTAAATATACGGTGTTGTAATTACAACGTGGTTTTATTGTTACAATACCTTTTTTCTTTAAAAGTTAACTTTCCCATGTGGAAATCTGATTCTGGTCCAGGTTAACTGCTACGGTACTGGACAATTCTTGAAATTGGCCAGTACCGTAGCATGCAAATTCATGAAAATCAGGTGCTTGTTATTTAGAGTAAAATATTGACTAAATCCATATATTTATCAGGCCAAGACATTGATACCTTATTGGCGAATAAATGATTTGATAATTAATCTAATTCAATAGCCTAAATAAATTGGTTGATAGTTTTTTTATTATATAGGCCTACACGTACAAATTTATCACTTCAGTAAATTATATTTCTATTATTATTGTATTTGTATCTTTTCAGCTTTTATTGTGAAAGAAGGTGTTTATTTGTTTCTTTTTAGGGAAAAAATAATCTTTAAATATTTTTATTTCAAGTACAGTGATTATTTCATTCTTTTTTGCATTTGATGCTGTTTGTTTTTTTTTTTCTTAAAAGTATATATAACTCATCAAGTCCAAAAAATACTAATTATAATAATTTTGACTTACCTCAAAGTAATAGCCAGCATTTCCACAGGTTGAATACAATTTCTCATCTTTGTATTCTGTCGTTGGATTTTGTCCTTAAGCCGTTCGTGCAATTCATCAAATGACGAAATCGACATACGGAAATAATTAAAAAATTTGGCCTCATCATTTCTTAAGTCTGGAAATAAAGTGTAGAACGCTCCAACATCCTCTCTTCTTTGATTAATAGGATGAACCCAAATTAGCCTGTTTTTTCGCCTTCTCTTCGCTCGACGACGGAATAACAATAACGCAAGTAAATGCACTCTGTTCATTTTACAAATAAACAACAACTCTTCAACATCAATCACACACTCAACGATCAACACTCTGTTGCGTGAAAATGAACAGGCTGTTGCGTTTAGACGGCGACGGAGATTTTACCGTTCTGTGTGTACACTACGGGTTGTCCATGGGCGGCGACGGCAAATAATCCGTGACGGACAAAACCGCCGTGTGTGTCCCCAGCCTTATACAGTCATACACATAATCTATAGTCTGTACCCTCACTCTTAGGCTACTAGTTCCGTTCTCTCACCCTCTTCCCAACGCCTTCGCATCGTCATCCGCCGTCCGTCATTTTTCATTTTTCATTTTTCATTTTTATTTTCCACGGCAATGCCATTTACAAAATACAATCAGTTAAGATTATAATAGATTATATGAATACAAAATATTAATTATAACAAAACAACATTTCATCAGCAATAACAACAATACAATCAATCAACAATAATAAACTATGACATAACAAAAACAAGGCAAAAAGAATGATAATAACAATAACAATGATAATGAAATGTGGTATGGTAGGATGTCTGAGTTAGATCTGTTGTGTTCTAATGTAAGTGGTGTAGTGCTGTAGTATAAGTAGTGTGAAGTCTGGTGTAAATCTGTATTTGGATGTGAAGTGTAATGTGGTGTGAAATAATTAAACGTGTAGGATTTTATGTTTAAGGGAGGCTAGACTGTCGCTGTAGAGGTCCACATGAGTTGAGAATTCGTTTCCTAGCCGTTGGAGTCGGATCATCGGACTATTACCCAGGTAGTTTGTTCTGTACTGCGCCCTGAAGAAAACATCTGTAGACCTGGTACCGCCTGGAACTCGAAATAACAGCTTTTCCAACAGCTGAGGAGAGTCAATTTTACCATTGATCAGTTTTAACAAGAAAGCCAGGTCCGCAACATCTCTTCTCTTGGCCAGAGTATGGAGGTTCAGCAGGGACTCAAGTTCTTCAACTGGGACGTCTCTGTAGTTGTAGCCACATCTAACTCCCATCATTCTTGCAAATCTTCTCTGAATTCGCTGTAACCGAGAAACGTAGATGTCATGGTAAGGTTTCCAAACCACCGAAGCATATTCCAAAATCGGGCGTAGGAGTGTCTTGTAAAGGGTAGTTAGAGTTGTTATTGAAAATCCATTTCTTGACACTCTGAAGATCAGACCGAGGATTCCACAAGCTCTCCTGCAGATTTCATCTACGTGGTGCTCAGGCGTAAGGGAAGAATTCCAATAGACTCCGAGGTCTTTAATTACGTGGCACCGGCTCAGGGGAGTACCATCCAACCGATAATCTATATGTACAATAGTTTCACGTCTTGTAAAGGATATTACATTGCACTTAGATACATTCAGGTACATCAAATTCTGCTTGCACCAAGACTCGATGCCAGCGAGAGTTCTCTGCAAAGATTCACCATCACTAACATTTCTGATCGCTTTAAATAGTTTTATATCATCGGCAAATAACAGGTATTCGGACTCAATTACTTCCCCTATATCATTTACAAAGATGTTAAACAGACAAGGCCCCAAGAGAGATCCCTGGGGAACCCCTGATAAAACTTTCATGGGTAGAGACTCAGCATTTGCAAATCTGACTATCGAGTGTCTATTCCTCAGGTAGTTGTCAATCCACAAAAGAAGTTTGCCAATAATGCCATAGGCCTTCAGTTTAGCAATAAGATGATCGTGGCTCACTTTATCGAAAGCCTTACTAAAGTCGAGAAACAAGGCATCAACTTGGGCTCTATTATCAAAGGATGAATATATGTATTGCTCAAAGGTAATTAAATTTGTTACTGTTGACCTTCCCATAGTAAACCCGTGTTGTTCTTTAACTATGAGACTTCCAAGTAGAGGTCTGAGTCTATCTAGGACCAAAGATTCAAAAGTCTTAGCAATGGGTGACTGGATGGTAATTGGTCTATAGTTACTGGCCTCAGACATATCTCCAGCTTTAAAGATTGGAACAATGTAGGATGTTTTCAAGGATGAAGGAAAAATGCCCTGGCTCAGGCTGTGATTGAATAGCTCAGAGATAATCCCACAAAGAGGTTCACTGCATTCACGAAGAACAATAGCAGGTATGCCATCTGGACCACAGCCCTTAGCGACATCAAGTTCTTCCAACTTCTTCCTCACCTCTTCCGGTGATGTCTGGACACAAGCAATAGAAATGCTAGAGGGTTTATCAGGATAATCAGGAACGACAGATGGAACATTGTTATAGACACTAGCGAAGTGGCGGGCGAAAATGTTGGCCATAGTTCTAGGATCTGATGATTCCTCAGCACCCAGTTTGATTCTAGTTGGGATGGATGTTGACTTCTTCAGTCCGTTCACATAACTCCAAAATATCTTGGGATTGGTAGGAATAACACTATCTACATGTGCAATATACGATCTATAACATTCCACTGACATGGATTTACATGCAGACCGCACCCTAGAAAAAGCCATGTAATCACTGTGCAGACGTGTACACTTGTAAACCTTATGAAGAGTCTTCTTATGAACAACAAGAGCTTTTAGGTCTCCACTAAACCAGCGAGGAAAAGGCGAACATCCAACTCTTTTGAGAGGAGTGTGTTTCCTGACAGCACACCTCAGCTTGTACATGAATAAATTAAATTTCTCATTAATGCCAATGTCAGCCTGCAGACACAGTTCATTTTCAAGATGATTTATTTCTGCTTTAATACCATCAAAGTTACATTTGTTGAAATTATAAACGTATGTACAGGTGTATTTGTTCAATGCCCCTGCAGGAGTTAATATATCAACATCCAAAGCAGGATGAAATCTATCTTCGTAAGCAAGGAGGTCAGTAGCCTTTTCAACCATACAAGGCAAGTTGGAGAAGACAAGATCCAACATAGCCCCTTTATCATTAAATACAACGTTGGACTGTTTGAGATCAAAAGTATTAGCAGTATCATATATAATATTTTTGGAAGCATCTGGGTTGGTAGCACTGATGAGGTTAAAGTCCCCAGCTATCAGTATATTATCAAACTTAGTTTTCGGGTCCAAGGTTACCCGTTCAAGGGCATCACAGAATGTACTGTAGCTAGACAATTGTTCATTAGGTGGTAAATATACCCCACAGATCAGAAAACAGAAAGCCTTGCTCAGAGTAACCATGACAAAGACCGTTTCAATATTTTCACAAGGTGAAGGTACTATGCATGATTTAATATCGGCACGGACAGCAACCAGTACTCCTCCTCCAGAAGCCTTACTACTTGTAGAAGCTGATCTGTCACAACGGAATACTTTAAAATTAGAGAAACCCAACTCAGACGTGTGTACCGTAGGGTCTAACTTGGTTTCAGTTAAAATTACAATATCATAATTACTGGCGTTTACATTATGCATAAAGTCTGGTAGCTTAGATCTAATCCCATTAATATTCTGATAATATAGCTTAGCATTGCCGTGGTTAACTAGTTTTTTGGATGAGCTTTCAAAGTAGTAATTGTAGGAACACCATTTCTGTATTTAATTGTCAGGTTCGGCTCACCCGATGCAGTTCTATCCTCAAGTTCTTTTCTCAAATTATCAAGGGTTTTAATTTCAAGTGTTGTACGGTCCCATGAAAGTTTAATATCTTTTAAGAGAGGATACGTGACACTTGCCGTGTTTGCAGAAAAGTTGTTAATGACTTTCAATTTATCATCCTCTGAGCGGAATATGAGCTTAATAAGACGGGACTTTCCAGCTTTCTTCTGACCCAACCGGAAGAATTTGATTTCTTCGTGGTTTATATTCGCATCTACTGATTTAACGTCATCCGTCATTCGTCAATCTTCTCGTCAGTCCGTCCGTCCGTCCGTCGTCTCTCTTTGAAGTTTGAACTCACTCACTCCAGTCACTCCTCCCGAGTCCTCCCCACTCACTTCCACCACTTCCACTGGGCCACTCACTCACTGCACTGTTTCTATTCACCAACTGTTCGTTCTTCGTTCTCGTCTCTCGTTGTCGTGTCGTTGCGTTCGGCGTTCTGTGTGGTCGTGGTGGTGTGAGCCGAGGAGAAGAGAAACAACGAGAAAGACGGCCAGACGGGACGATTCGGTCGGTTACTAACTACCTCTCATTGTTCACGTTAAACGTTTTTCAATTCTATTGAAAGTTGTAAACTTATTGATACAAAACAATGTCAGCCAAGGCAGTTCACATTACGGACGAGGTAAGTATTTTTTAAATTTTCAATATTACTTTGATTGATACGATTTTATTGGCCGAAATGAACATGTTTTCACGTGATCGTTAGGCGGTGGTTCCTGTTAATACAATCACATTGTGACATTGATAAGAATGAGTTTCTTTTTTCGAACAAACTTTCAGACAATGAGGGTTTTGAGAAAGTCGCTCTTAAAGTTTAATATGACTGACAATTTTGGGATTCTAGTTGTCTTCAGTGTAGGCCTAACATTTTTTTAAAATGTGCTTTAATAAGGTTAGAGTTTGTTTAGGGTCTTAACTTACCCAGTCATTTCCATCTTGTGCTACTAAGTTCCAAGTGTACACCTGATTTAAGCTCTCTGAAAGTGATTGCTTAGCACTTGGAGTTGAATAACTTATGTCCTAAATCAACTTGACCCATGAAAGAATCCTCGAATAGCCTAGCCTATTTGTTCTTAGGAGAAGTCATGTTACATAACCTGTCAATGGTTCATTCAATCCCTTGTTATCAATTATAGGCCTAAGTTAGATTTAATATTTACAAAGAGCTTCACAAACAAAGAAAAATAGGTTGGCCTAACTATCAATTCATAAACTGAATGTAGTCTAACTAACTTAGGCTAAGTTAGATATAGGGTAACTTGAGTTTGGCCTATCCAACATAAGTTAGCCTAGGCCTAAGAAGTTAATCCTCGAATAGGAAATTTGCTTAAATGGGATTATGTAGTAAAACTGTGCTGTGGTTAATATGCATTTTAGGGTTTGCACCCGATTTTACGATTTATTTTACGCAGAAAATAACCATAACTTACGCCCGAAAAGCGACCAAAATGACCAAGTGGTTATTCAAATCAACCAAAATAACAAGCAGATCACGATTATGCAAGAACTATTTTGATCTGACGTCAAATAAGTTAGCCTAGGCCTAACTTAAAAGCGGTAGGCTAACTTATGTAATCAAAAATGAAATGACTTAACTTACTATCAGCAATAACCCCAACTCACTAGGTGACCTGTGGGAATTAACTTAGGGGTTTTGGGTGGGGGTGACATCCAACGTGGATAATCGGGAGGAAAGGGTAATTTTACAGGTAATAATGGGTAATTAGTCATTAGGAATTGGGAACTTCCATTTAGAACCAAAATTGAACATTGGTCTTATTAAGGCATGAGGGGAGGGCAGGTTGAGTTTTATGCGGATTTGTGGCTGCATAAAGTGTTTTGAAGTTAGGTTAGATTAGGAAGGTAAAGTGAAAGTGTAGGTTATAGCATAGACTAAGCAACACAAGTAGACTCCTCATCCCATTGTAAATTTTGAAGCTTGTTTTTTGCGTCTAGTTCATGTACGTCCACACTGATCGCTAGTGTAGACAACATTTTGTTTCTATTATTTTAGGGTTATTTTCATGATTTGTGCTTTACTATTTGGTTATATAACTAGGAGACCAGTTATTGCTTATGATTATATCGTTTTATTAGGTTAAACGAGGTTTTAAATTACTGCAATAACAAGAAACAAATTGTAAACAAAACATAACCTCTATAGTTGGACGTACAGAACTAACAATAAAATTGGCTTCAGCTGTTCCATTAGGATGACTAATCTACTAAGGGAGTATGTTTTATCTATGGTTATAGTCTACCGGGTTGTTAACACGTCCGCTGTGGCTTATCAATTGGCTTTTGCGTATTCCCAGTGCGGTAGAGCCCACAGCGTCAAACAAACCCGATTGCCATGTGTGATTGCTTTTCAAATTTCGGTCTGACGAATAGGAAGTAACGTGTGTTGATGACCTGCTTTACGACGAGAGTCGACGTACCTAGTTCGCTTAAACACCCACAGATAGTATCACTGCTTGAAACGTAGCCGGTCCCGGTTGTGATTGTATTGCCAATTGGAGGGAGAAAGCCGGGACAACAAGTTGAATTTTAAGCTTGCCAGACAAGGATTTTACGGGGACATTTACTACCAAATTTACCTACGCTACAACAAAAAGCAAGTCACACACTTCACGCTATCGTGGAATAGGTCAGGCTTCGACTGACGCTAGAGCGAAAACGAAAATACATTATACGAAAGGTATTGCCGAGCGTTCCCGATTAGGTACGGACACACCCTACGGGCACCGAGCACCGTACCGGGTCGGGAACGGCCACACTCAACGTGTTAATTGTGTTATATCTATGTTGTATTTAGCCATTGGAGTCATATTTTAGTTGGTTACCTAAACAAGGAGGATACGATTTTGAAAATGCAATCTATTGCTGCCCGTTTTGTGGAAAAAATACGGCTTTGTAGGGCAATACCGTCTATATAGTCACGAGATGGAGGACAAAACGGCCAGCAATAGATTTGAACATGACTGGTTGTTCATTTTTCACCCCTTTTGTATGACCAAATTTTTTCCCAGTATACTACCTTGATACTGTCGTGTTCGTCTAAGTGTCCTCTATCTCATGACCATATGGGTATTTCCCTACATGGCCGTATTTTCCGCAAAACGGCCAGCAATAGATTTTAACATGACTGGTTGTTCACATCTACTTATTGCTGAGTTATTGCCTGGTTCACACCAATAGTTAGGCCTACTGATGGTTTTGGGAATTTTCTCTGTAATGTTTAGTTTTACAACAATGCTTCAACATTCAAAATTTTTTTTAGCTCTACAAGATGGCTATATTGAAAATTGGGCATTTTAGCAAATTTCCCTATAGGGATGAAGCTATAACCATAGGTCTCATGGTAAGCATGGTGACCTAGGCCTGGGACCGATTTACTTTTTCATTTTTGATGTCCCCAGAGGCCAAAACACCATTCGTTCAAATGACTTGCAGTGCTCGATTTGAGGAGAAACACGGCGGAACAGAGTTCCGGTACCCCTCTTTTGTAAAGATAAAAATATTGGCATAGGCTAAATAGGTAAAAATCCAAATTACATTTGGACATTTTTTACAAATTAAACACTGTACAGTTAAAATAACTGTAAACTATTTAATTTTGGAGTATTACACATCTACCATAGCTATAATGTTCTACCACTTCACCTAAGCAATAGAGAATTATTATTAGCCTATATTATTTTATGTTATTTTATGAATAATTATTATTCATGAAATGAAAAACATAGATACATAACTGTAAACAATCCTACTTTGACAGTTCTCATTGCGAATCACAGTTTTTGATGTTGCTTTTTTCAAATTAGCTGTTTTCATAAATGCAAAAAAATATAGTGCTGCACCCTGTTGGTAAATCTTATAACTTTTTAATGCATTCCATATTATAGAACCAACTTTTTTAGTTGAAACAGCTGACTAAATTCTTTAATTCCCTTTAAATATGAATACTCATAAGGTTAACATGGGGAATTACAGAGCCACTGGGGCAGAGCCCGAAAGGATTTTTGGGATAAGAATATGCCTAGGCCTATATGTTAATCGGGAATGTAAGCTATCATCATGCCAAATTTCAGCCCAATCCGTCCAGTGGTTTATGTGTGATTGAACTTCAAACACACAAACAAACAAACAAACCAACAAACAAACAAACAAACACACAAACTTTCACATTTATAATAGGCCTATTAGTAAGATAAGATAAGATATCTTATCTATTTGCACTGTTAGTTGCAGTTATCTCAAATTTAGTCATTGCTTTTTTTACTCAATTATCTCACAATGTTTGGTTAATGGACACAATTGTCAATTGACTATCCTATTAAATTTTATAAGTATCAAACTCATGATTCTAATAAAAAAATTATGATAAATTTTTCCAAAGAGGATCCAGTAACTACAAGTTTATCTGTTGATTAGTCACTATGTAGCCAACAGCTACACATTGCAGAGCTATCTCTTTGGATGTATCATAGGAATATGAGGGAAATTCCAACCAGGAAGTAGGCTACACAATCATTATTCTTGGAATGGTTGAGCAACATTCCAGTTCTCTTGACCTTGGTTGGCTCCTATGATATTAGTCATGAATTCAGTTGTGTGTATGAAAACTTGATTATTTTGTACGCAATCTAGTCCAAAATAAGTCACAAAATAAAAACTGCATTTCTTGTATAAACAATTACATAGTTTCTATTACTTAACATTATGTAAGTAGGAGAAATTCATTTCATCAACAACACTTTGCTTGTTGTGCAACCAGTGACAAAGTAGCAGTTATCTAATTTTCATATTAAAATCATGACGTGCATTTATATTGAGGTTTATTCTAAAGCGTGGGAACCAAAGATCCCTTTAGTTCTTTTCACATGTAAATTACATAATCAGTTAATTGGTTCTTCATTTGTGTCTTGTACTTAGGTTTAAAGGCCTTTGGTGAACGCTTATAATAATAATAATTTAGTAACAATCATAAAATTATGTTAGTATTGATTTGTAGACCCCTTACATTTCACAGAAAATTAAATTCCATATTTAAAAAAATATTTGCCATTGCCATTGTTTAAGAAGCATTAACAAACACCTTACAACCTGGCTAAGGGTGGAAACATGTGGCGCGGCGAGGCTGGAGTGTTGCGTAACTGAGAGCTTGTTTTCTCCGATGGTAGCGGCGCTTCACATGCACCTTGTAGAGTGGCGATGGTAACGAGTCAAGGAGCCGGATTACAGTAATTTTGAATCCAGATATTATGGTCCAGTGAAATTTACTGGTTTTGTATAAGAAACCAATTAATGGCAAAAATTGTAAAATACATAAAAGTTGTCATCTATTAAGCCTACACCACTGTTGAAATATTTAAAACAATAAAATAATAAAATGCATATATTTTTTTAAAATTCTAATCATTAATAGTAAAAGCTGTTTACAGGACATGTTTTTAAAGTGGATACTGTACTTATTGGACAAGAATAATTGCACATCATCATTTGATATATTGCAATAGCATTAGTGGTGCCAAACAGGACTGCTTTCAGGAACCAACAAAATAAAACTACATTTTAAACCATGTAAGCTACGTTGTCGATTTAACCTCTCAGGCCTGACCATCGACTAAACCCTCTTAAGGTAAAGGAATCGGTGTAGAATATCGAAGCGGAGAGGCTAGCGTTTACCAGGTACGCTCTCCGCTCCATTATGTTTTGGCGCACCTACAATATTTTTTTTTAGACTGAGAGACCAATAAAAGTATAGGCCTAAACGGAAAAAAATTATGACATTATTGACAATAAATTACCAATAATTTATAAACCCTAAGGTTAACAAGAAAATAAATCTTATAAAGTTCTAAAATAGGTAACATGTTTTTCTATTATTAAACTAATTGAGTCCCTCATTTAAAATTATGCCTATCTCAAGTGGTCTAGGAATGAATTTTGTTATTGTAGACAATATTTTTTGGAATTTGGGACTCTTGAAAATAGTTTTTCAAAAGGTTACATACATAATGATTTACTATACCATTTGAATCCCTAGTTGAATTAAGGTTCACAATAATTAACACCACGTAATAGTGTGTGTGTACATAACATTCATTTTACTAAATAAGTTCAATAATTTAAATCATACCATTTTGTCTGCCTCCTATATTGTAACTAGAAAATAAGAAAATTATTACCTTATGAAGATAAGATGTCAAATAAATATGCTCCTATCATTGATTTACAGTATTATGTAATATCTTACAGTAATCTTTTTAGTTGATAATGGTGTAGTAATGCCCTAGAACTCCCAAAAGGAGATGTGTTTTTGGAATTTGTTATAAAGTTGAAAATTACTGACATAATATGGGATTAGTAACACAAATACATCTTCCGGTTTGTAATAATTTTTAATTAGTCTAGTTTTATTTATTATAAATTAATTGGAAGTGGTATTCTGGGTTGATTATTGTTTGATACAGTAGGACCTTAATAACTCAAACATTGGTATCTCAACTTCCTTGATATCTCAAATTTTTTATAGGTAATCCCCTCGAAACAAAAATCACAATGTTAAAAGTAGGCTACATCAATAAGTCAACGGTTTATCATATTCTCCCTCCAATAAATTGAATTTTAACAGTTTTTAATCAGTGATAGGCTACTCAGCCTCAATAGCTTGATGTTTTCCTTTATAAGTTGAAGTTCACATGACGCGCCTCAATAATTAAAGTTTTGCCGTACAAGTTAGCTGTATTTTGATCCTGTAAACACATGAAAATCCAACTTCCCTTGTTTGTTTGGCATTGCTAGTACTGGGTAGTCAGTCAGTTATTGAGATTATTTTGTGCGCATGAGACGACATGTCATCAGAGCTATCCACAAAGTCGTAGAAGACTGCAGCGCTATTACATAGCTTGACATATTCTAATTAATTCTTGCCAGAAGAATTGTGTAAAGCAATTCCGGGCTAGAGCATAATGTCCTCGAATATAAAGGAAGGACATCAAAAATAAGTTATTTAATTACAAGTATTTGGTAATGTTTTTCAGGAGGACTTGAAGACCAAGCTGAAGGAGGCAGGGGACAACCTGGTTGTCATTGATTTCTTCGCCACTTGGTGCGGACCCTGCAAGATGATTTCTCCCAAAATTGAGGTCAGTGTCCGCTCACATGTTGAATCATAAATCAAAACTTTATATTTTCCTTACTTTGTGCCTTGCGTCGTCTATGTCTTAAGCTCCTGAATATGTAATAAAGCTCCTGAATAAGCTCCTAAATGTCTTCTTTCGATTTAACTGGCTTTGGTTGTCGTCGCCGACATTCTCACAACCGCATTAAGTTTTCTTTCAAGAATAATTAAGGCTAAAAAAATCTTTCCCATATTCAGTTTTTTGTCCTTAAAATTACGCAGACTGATAACAACCAAGCCTACGCACAGGCACCTGCCCATTTAGGCCTATCCTATAAGTATGGCAGATTCATCTGACAATAGTAGTTGTACTAGGTAATCTTGCTCTCTGTTTTTATTTATCTTCTGTAATGAAATTGGGATAAATAAACATATTTCATTTCATTTCATGTAGTTGTTGCCAACATTTACTTGGATACTTGGAGTATTCCCACTGGTGGCATCACATAAGCGACATGGTAGTTGGGGTTTTCTTTTTCTTTAATAATTCACTAAATATTCATGAAAAACGACATTGAGATAGAACTATCCTATATCAACAATTCATGCTGAAATCATTAACATTTTTATTTCCTCTTCCAGGACCAAATTTGGCTTAAAAGTACACTTATTCATTAGTTTAGTGTATTTAATTCAATTTTGTGAGAAGTAAAATTTTTTTATGATTTACATTGAATTTGGTAGGCATTTTGCTTTCTTAAATACAGCCTATTGGACAAGTTTTTTACCAGCTGGAGTGAATGGAAAAACTCTGTAGTTTTTATTTTATAAGAAGTAAAACTGTCACACATTTCCTAGCATAACAGGTCTAAGAGTAATTAAGTTACACAGGATAAATCTTTAACAGATATGTTTTTTTAACCCTAGCAGTGGCCAACGATCGTTCGCTGTTGATGCTTAAAACGGCCACGATCGTATGGCCCAAAATTATTTTAACGGTAAAAAACACTTATAATCAACTCAGATGAGAACATATATACACCATTCGAAAGATCATATTCCGAACTATCATTTTATTACATAAACAAACCCTGTATCAGGTATATAGCAATGTCACGACAATAAGAAATCAAATGAATTTTTGGCGCGGCACAACTTTAGCAACCGACACTTGTGAACTGGCAAAACACGACTTGTTTGGCATTACCCTGCTAATTTAGTTTTTGTCTTGGGATGTTGCGGGTGGTGCCACTGCATAGGCATTGAATTTATCTTTATTGTGGTAGTGATATTTAAAACGAAATGTTGATTGGACAACCGGTACTATTTTATGAAAACAGCTGTTTTCGAAATTTATAACAAATGGCCAACAGTCACTAGACGATCGGACGGAAATTACGAATTACATACAGTATAAGTTATTATTACTAGTCATATAATATGTCATTTTGAAGAGGAAGAAAATGTACCTTGTGATACGCTCAGGGTTGCCACTATTTCTAGGTACATTTATTCCTCTTCTCTGTTTTTTTTAATGAGTAATAAAGGAGCGGTGCACATATTCTAAAACTGACAACAAAGAGAAATTTCCAACTGAACCTTTTAACAAATAAGGGTAGGAAACGTTAATCAAATATTTTGTCAGGGCCATTAGTTGATGAGCGTGTATGCCTCACCTAGTGATATTGATCTGAGGTCATCAAGGTTCACTAAATATTCATGAAAACCGACATTGAGATAGTACTATCCTATCTACAATGTACACCTTTAAAATACCGCTAAGTAAACATGTCATGTTTTTGACAGACAAGCATATCTTAATTTCCTCGATTACACAAGATTACTAATTAAACTATATCAGTTAATCTTAATGGTTTGAAAGTGCCTCTACACCACTCTATTGCATTTAAATGTTTTCAGTAGACACTTGCTGTTGGCCAACATGTTGTTATCCCTTGTAATAATATTAATTAATAAAACAATTTATCAATAACATTTGGAAACCATTTTCAACTTAGGTAGTATTGTAAAATAATATCTAATCACATGGTTGACTCTTTAAACTGTTTATGTAGCCTACTCTAATCAAATCATATTTTTTCAATAATGATAAAGTAGAATCCTAAATGGCCATTTAAATATAGGCCCTAACTCTTTAAGATTAAGCAAAATCTTAGAATTGGCTGGCCAGGATAGCTGTTATGCATTTTTGTTGGATAGGACTTCAGTAATTATTGTTTCTGTCTACATTCTACATCTATCTCAACTATCCAAACTAAAAAAAAAAATTAATAGTATATTTCATCAATAATGTGTAAAGGGACTTTTTTTGATCCGAGCTTAAGTTTCACGACAAGGTGAGGTCAGAAAATGAGCGAGGGTTGAAAAGACACTTTTTGCCTGTGTGATTAACTATATTTTTCATTATTTTGCATCATTAATTAACAAGCTAAACTAGAAAACAAAAATAGTATTCATGTAAAGATAGATAACCTTTCAAAATGACTTCCAGAGTGAAGCTGAAAACTAACCTAATAAATGAATCGATTATTAATTTTGAAGCATGCGATTGCTTACAATCAAAATTTACAACAGTTGACTTTTACCACTGACTATTGGAAGCTTAAGTAGACATCCCATCTATGTGGACCAGCTGTTGCTAATTTTTCAAGATGAACGTAGTTGTGTGAGCCAGACACAGAGTGTGCTAGTGTCTACAATTCTATTTTCTACCTTGTCCTTATAGTTACTAAAGCTCACAATAAGTCGTTCTATCAGTTTTGACTCGGTATACAAGTTTGTGAATTCGATAGAAATCAGTATTTTACATCAGCACAAGCTGTCGGTGGCTCACATCAACTACGAGAATTTTTACCAATAACTTAAACGTGGGGATCCATCCCCATGTTAACCACCACTCCTATGTCTAGTTGTATTAATAGTCATATATTTTTACTCCTTAGGAAGTAAAAATGCTGCTTTAGACCTGCATCACATGTAGGCCTATTAAAAAGGGAGAGTTGCACGACATTTAAATCGTCCGCTGAGCTGTTGCTCATCGTGCAACTGGCTTAACAGGTTTTTTTTTTTTAAGAATAAAGTCTTGGACAAATAGAATAAATATAGACTGTCAAAGAAAGGTTCCGGCGCACACCGCTGCAGGCGAGGAGCGCAGGAGCTGTATGCTACCAGCAAACGCTGCAGCGGTGTGCACCGTAACTACATGGCATTCTAGCGGTGGATGCCGGAACATATTGGTCTATATTTATTCTATTTGTCTCCGATAAAGTGCACTGTTGCATGTCAAGCAATACCATAACGTCCAAAGCTGGTGGAAAGACTGGTAGATGTTTATTGCAGTTACTGTACTTTTGGACATGGTGAGATTTGGATGTCGAGCAACAGTCAAATATTTTATATTGGACGTCGTGCAGTGGATCCATTAAAAGCATATTGTTTAATATAGACACAAATATTAATTTTTTTTGTTAAAGTACTGCCTCCGGGTTGCTGATTGAAGATATATTCTTTGTACCATATCTTCTACAATAATTGGCCCTCTCAGGCCTAGCCTGAAGTAGTGTGGAAAACGGTTCTAAGTTGGTGTCTAGTGCCTTAGGATTTAAAGAGCTAGAGCATAAAAAAATAGAAACAAATTTTCTGGTCTTATAAGAAGTTATGAACCTTTGTGTGCAGGAGATGGCAGCAGAGATGCAAGATGTGGTGTTCTTGAAGGTGGATGTAGATGAATGTGAGAGCATCGCTGGAGAATACAACGTCTCGTCCATGCCTACCTTCGTCTTCATCAAGAAAGGAGAACGGGTAAATACACTTTTAGAACTATAGTTTACAAACACAACGCAAATTACACTGTCTTTTTAAGACCTCATTTCTTTCCGATGACATTTTCTATCAAAGTATAACAGTGCTAAAAATGTACATTCTAAAACTGATTTAGTGAACAAATATATAAACCTCTGTCTTAGTCAGCCCTAGGGTCGTCATATTTTTGATTATTTAATATTCATTAGTATTATTTTGAGCCGCAGCATGTGCAACATCATTGGCATAACTTTGGTAGACTTTGAATTGTTTAATTTTCCTAAACTGTGCCTTCTATATTTCAGTTGGAACAATTCTCGGGTGCAAAAAGAGAAAGATTTATTGAAACAGTGAACAAATTCAAATGAAGATTTTGCTTATCTCTTGGCTTTCCTGCATACCAAGTTCAAGGGTGCATTCCAATCTTTGGCAGGATTGTAATTGTCACTAATTTATTTCAGGTTGATTCCTTTGCTGGAGCAAACTACGATAAGCTGAAAGAAACTGTCACAAAGTACAAGTGAAGATAATTTATTGATAAATTACATTATTGTATTATTTTATTCCAAATCAGGTTAAGCTTTCCATGTCAAAAGTCACCATTCATTGTTGAAGAAAAACTATTTATTGTAGATAAAATATTGTTTCCAGTGCTACTTTTGTAAATCTATAATGTTTTGTATAATTATTTTGTCACATTAGATTTATGTTGGTGTTGAAAATGTGTAAACGGTATGCCTTATCTAAGTTAGGTCAAACTTTTTAACAAATGCTATGAAACAATAAATATACTGACAAAAATGTGGAAATGTATTTTACTATCCTGGTGTTTCATATTGACATGTTAGTTATGATATCTGTTCTATTACTCTTATCTTTTGTCTTCTCTATCTACTCATTAGCTTATCACTGATACATCCATGTTTAAATGTTGGTAGTCTAAATCCCACAAGCATTTATTTTGTTTAGATACTATAAAAACAAGTTTTTTAAAGGACAATATAAACCAGGAAGTATTTTAAACCAATTACCAATTATTAATTTTGTAGCTATGAGCTCAAAAAAGTATTTACCATTGTCTTTGAAAGGAGGATATAAACCAGGAAATATTTTAAACCAGTATATAAGCTCACAAAAGTATTGCTCAAACAGCCAAAACATTCGCTTGGACCCTATAAAAAAAATCATGATTAAGTCCTGTAAAATACAATCGACTTTGGTACTATTTTATGAAAACAGCTGTTATTACTGTATTTTGCAATAAATTTATTGCAAGTAAACTTCTTATTGTATTCTAAAATCTGAAGTGTATATTGTTTGAGTAAATATTACAGTGTGGATTTTACTCAATGAATGTGCCCAAAGGGAGGGAGTCCTTAGATAAATACCTCTTTTGACACATAAGCAGCGGTCCACCAGATTGTAAATCAAATTAGAAGACATTAGATCCTAAAAGATAATTTTATTTTGTCAAAATAGATTAAATGTTTGTAAAATAACAATAACCTTCAATCATCAATTATTGTTATCTGATATCTAAATTAAACAGACTGAAACATATTTCTGTAAAGATAACTCATTTTTAAACTATGATACAGTACCACTAAAAGCTGAAATATTATTTGCTTAAATTATTAATGTAATGTTTGAATTTGTGTTTTTAAGACAATCCACAATACAAGTAAAAATCTCCATATCAATGTGTTTTCATGGACACTGAGGTTATCACTTTTGATAGCGTAGGTGCCAATTATCTTTGTAAGGCCTATTACTCTTGGACTTGATTTTACAAACTTTGGTTTGAAAGTTTATCAATATCTAGGTTTTAAACAGTGTAGTAGATATAAAAAACCAATATTTTTCAACATTAACAAATTTACATAGGATGTAATAACAAGGAACAAATCAATACTTTCACCTAACATGAGGTATAGTTAGCCTGAAATTAGGGATGGACGAGATTGAATTTTTAGTTCAAGACGAGACGAGACGAGATTTTTTATTTCTCATAAAATTTCGAGACGAGATCAAGACGGGATTTCCCTTCTCATACACAACGGGAAATGCACGTTCAAAATTTTTACCTGATTTTGTAACATTGTTAGATGACTGTTTAAATACAAAAATAATGATAATAGGCAAGAATATTTACAATCTTTTATTAAAAAACATCAGCATAACATTTTTTTATTAATCACGCCTAACTTATTAAAAATGCCTACGATTAGGAAACATAGTGATATCAGTTAGGATAGAGTTCAACTTATCCTAAAATAAAATAAATCATAAAATAAAAGAAATATTAATTATTTTTATAAAATAATTACTTGTTTTGACTTTTTATAGTAATAAAACATTCCTCACACTGTTTACACTTAACAAAACTTCTCAAATGTTATTAAAGTAATATTATTAAAATAATTAAAGTAATATTTACATTTATAGAATTAATTAAATAAGAACGCCTTCGCAAAGGAAACGCAACTACAACACGCTCCTGTATTGCGGGTATTGCATTGACTTTCTGCAGGCGTTTTAAATTTTTTTATTTTTTATTCTCGTCTCGATAAAAATCTCGGCCAAAAAGAAATCTCGTCTCATGTAACAAGATTTAAAATTTCCCGAAATTTCGAGACTTGACCATCCCTACCTGAAATAAACAGAGGTGTATTTAGACAAAAAAGCTAATGGATACTGATAGTTTATGTCATCAGGCTTGATTCCCATTTTTTTTTTTTTTTTAAATAACTATACTACAAAATACTTTTGCAGTAAACCTGCAGACCAAGTGAGTTTCTATTGCAATGTTGTATCTTCACTAAAATATTCCCTTAAAATTGTAAGATTTTACACACACATGTTTTGCTGCCCCAGGGAAGGTAAAAGATTTGTTTAAATAAAATGTTAATAGCTAATTATGCAATAAAAGAATTTACAAATTTTATCAAAATATCCCTAAAGCACGGGTCACACTAGGCTGGCATCAGTTGTGAATTGAAAGAAGCAACTACTATCAGCTCAATGTCACCACAAAATTAGCAGCTGGCACCACCAGCCGGTGAAGAATTTGTCAGTAGCTGGGAAGTTGGACATGTTCAACTTTTGGTTGCAAGACAGCGGTGACTGGCAGGTCACGTCACTTGCACTCGCTGTCGCTAGCTAACAGCATAGTCTAATCACCTCTAGAAGCTTGCCAGCGGTGACCAAAGCAACACATTTGTTAACTAACATGAAGCTTTTGTCATATAACATCAGTGTTGTATATAGCTGGGAAACTTGCATTTTTTAAATGAGCGTTTTCAGTCGAGACTCAGCACACGACCGACGCACGTCTACATGTCCATAGTAAAAATAAAAGTAGTTCTACCGTGTGTTTATGTTTTATTCGTCATGTGTATAAGTGTACAGTTTGTGTATGTGTTTCAAAAACTTCAAGACACACCTAATGGGGAAGCTCAAGACCTTATATTAGGACTGATGACGGCAATTTAATTTCGCCGAAATGCATCTTCTGTAATAAGATACATTAGGATCGACCGGCGGACACAGGTAATTTAACCTTTTATTGATTGTCATACCGATCCGGAACAACAACAAACAACATAAAATGAAGTTATGTATAATAGTTTGGCCAGCATATCTGAAACAATGCAAACCAACTGCTGTTCTTTATATAAGAAGGTTTCAACTGAATACTATAAGATCCCTGTGCGCAGAACGGGTACACAGCTAGTCAATATCTAAGATTCACACATCAAGTCCATGATGAATTGTAAACCAAGAAAATTCTGCAATTTATCAATGGTTCCCACTCCTACAGCATACTGAATCTTCGTCTAGGAAACAATATTTAAACCACATTCCTCACACTCCATCCCATGCTTTACCCAAGCTCTAAATGTCAAGATAATAATACAACTATGCTACAGAAAATATGAAATATCAATATAACCAATTAAAAAAGACAGTGTCAATATGGCCACATATTACTAGACACAAAAAAAATTAGTTTAATAGATGAAAAAAGACACACAAAAAATAATTTGTGTCTAGTATAAATACTAGACACAAACAATGTTTTACTATAATTAAACAGCATAAAAAAGGAAAAATTAAAGAAAGCCCTGATTATATTGGGGTTAATTTTGTTCATTCTCTCCCTTGTAGAATCAGAAATGAGGAAAACAGAAACTTGTAAAAAAAAGCTTCCAAATTTGCTAATTAGTGGAGAGTTTTATAATTTTGAAGAATTTACTGCACTATGTTCAAATATGGAAATAAACATGTAAATATAAAAAAAAATAAATATAAAAATAAAATGGATCAGGAAAATGGTTTTAGTATTAGTTACAGTTTAAGATTAAGACACATTCATGTACACATTGTTGTATGTCTGAATAAAGATTTATTTGACTTGACTTGACTTGACATTCTTCCACAAGTTTGTACAAGATTCAGCGACAGGTGAAGAAAATGATTCTAATACAATTACTCAATTTATTCCTGGTGGTCGGCCTACTTTAATTTCAGAAGTTAGTTTTGACGCAGAAGAAGGACCTTGGAATAGACTATTTTATTATTCCAATTTTTACTTTCTCCCCCTATACCATAGTATATGGAGAAAGTATTGTTTTCGTCAAAATTTTCGAGTTTGAGATTTGAGTGGATATATTCGTTTTGGGTCCCCCTGGACCCAAAAAAGTGGTTTTTGAAGTGATGTCTGTGTGTGTGTGTGTGTGTGTGTCTGTGTGTCCGTGTGTCTGTGTGTCTGGATGTGTACAGAGCTAGAGACTAAACCTGTGGTCCGATTTCGATGAAATTTGGTATGTAGGTTCTAATCCATGGTATCTCCAGGCGTTTTTTTCATTTTTTAGAAATTTTGATTTTTAATGGGGATTTTCCCATAAAAACCCATAAAAAACCGGAAAAATTGGATTTTCTCAAAAATGGTCCGAACGATTTTGATAAAAATTTAGTACGTTGTAGCCCTTTACATTCTGAACAAAATGGTACAAATCCCATTTCTGTAAAAATTACGGTTCAAAAGTTATGGTAAATTATGTTATTTTCCCATAAAAACCCCATCAAATAACGAAAAATAGGATTTTAGACAAAAATCCGGTTTTTATTTGACATAGTATGTTATGGTCCTTACAATTATGATAGTTTTTTCATTTTTAGAAATTTTTATTTTTAATGGGTATTTTCCCATAAAACCCCATAAAATAACGGAAAAATAAGATTTTCCCAAAAATGGCCCGAACGATTTTGATAAAAATTTAGTATGTTATAGTCCTTTATATTCTGAACAAAATGGTACAAATCCCATCTCTGTAAAAATTACGGTTCAAAAGTTATTGTAAATTATGTTATTTTCCCATAAAAACCCCACAAAATAACGGAAAATCACATTTTCCCAAAATTGGCTCGAACGATTTTGATAAAAATTTAGTATGTTATAGTCCTTTAATTTCTGAAGAAAATCTTACAAATCCCATTTTCGTATATTTACTCTCAACGCTTACACATGATAAAGGTTGTTGACAAACTTATGGGAGAAAGTATGTGTCAGAATGCTGATACCGTTTATTTATATACACAATGATTAGGTATTAATTTATGTAATTATGGAATAGACTATTTTGTTAATCCTATTAGCGAATTTCCATATAGGGAATAAGCTATTACCGTAGGTCTCATAGTAAGACCTAGACCCGGGACCGATTTACTTTTTCGTATAGAGGTCTCCAGAGGCCAACAACACCATCCATTCAAATTCATATATACATATATTTATATTTGTTGTAAA